TATAGAAGCTCTTCCCTTCTCAATGATTATTTTTAAAAACTCTTCCAATTTTTCCAGCACTATCATATTTTTTATTTGACTCTTTCAAATTCTTTCAAAGGGTTCAACCTTTTGCACCCCACTTATCCTAGGAACATGCATTGAAACTTTAATCTATCTTCACTGATACACAATACCATTAAGTACTTATGTGTAGATCTTACCTAACCAGCTGGGTCATGCATGTTTTCTTTCTTTTTTTTCTTTTTTTTCTTTTGCGGTGCCAGGGATTGAACTCAGGACCTTTTGCTTGCCAGGCAGGGTCATACATGTTTTAAAGTTAGTAATTGGGCATTATCCAGTCTTTTATCCCTCATAAAGCTGAGCACAATATTCTGCAAAAAATAAGTAGAAATTAGCCATGCATGGTAGTGTGTACTTATAATCTGAGCAGTCTGGAAGGTTGAAGCAGGGAGATTGCAGATCTGAGCCCTGCTCGGGCAGCTTAGTGGCTTATCAAGACTCTGAAATAAAAAAGACTAGGGCCATAGCTCAGTATCAAGGCCTATGCCTCAGTACTGAAAAACAGTTTCTTACATTTTAAAAATCTTATGACTTTTTTCTTTGTATATAGGACAGGGTCTACAGGGTCTCACTATGTAGATCAGACTCATAGTGATCCTCCTGTTTTCAGCCTCCCAAGCGCTGGCATTACAGGCGCGCACAACTACACCTAGTCTCAATTGCCATCTCAGCGCGCCCCGGTGGCAGGGCCCCGGCCCCTGTGTTCTGCCTAAGCAAGCACTTTAATCCGCTGAGCTATCAGTTCAGCCCATGACTTTTATACATGACAGTACATAAACATTTAGGTGTAGTTCAGTGAAAATTTATAAAATGAAAAAAAAAAATTTATAAAATGAACACATGCATAGCCACTTAGATCAGGCAAACTTCTTAGAGCTTTCAGTGGTAAGAAACAGCCCGCAGTAGCATGTGTGCTGTAGGTTTGCTCCCATGGACCTAGATGGAGAACTAAGACTATTTGTACTCTCTAGGACTCTCTCTCTTCCCTTCATGTCACATTCCTCTCCCATCCCCCAGAGGCCATAATACTGCTAACTTTCATGACATTGATTACTTGGCCTTTCTTTGTATTAAGAATGAGCCATATGAAGTCGCCATTTTTATAGGTAACAAATCATTGGTTATGTGTGGGTTCATATTTCTGCCTCATAATTTATCACTGTGAATTTCTGTACTGTTGAGCTGGGCCTCTTTGAATATTTTACTTGACTCATTGCATTTTTTTATAATATCTTTTTAAAAATTTTTTTTGCAGTACTGGGGATTGAACTCAGGACATTGTTTTTATACTCTCTAGTAGATCTTTGCCTCATTATGTTATAGAAGTTGGCCATGTAAGCAAAAGTTGTTGATTCTCATTGCTAGATCTATTTATTTCATGCTTTGTTTATCCATTCCACTGTTGCTGGATTATGGATTGTGTCTGAGTTTGTGCTGCTATAACAAAAATACCATATGCTGGGTATTTCCCCTCATTGTGAGAGCCTACCTAGTGGCCAGTAGACAGCCATCTCCTCTCTCTGTCCTCTCTTGGCCTGGGGATTGAGGTAAGGATTCACTCACTCCATGTCTCTGCTTGTAAAGGGCGTTAATTTTATTCACAAGGCTACACGCTTTTGAGCTGACTCTCAAAACTTAACATCGGGGCTGGTGAGATGGCTCAGTGGTCTAAAGCATCTACTTAGAACAAGCTAAGCTAAGCAAAGCACAGGGACCGCAGTTCAATCCCCCAGCACCACATGCCAGCCAGCCCCGCCCCCTGGTGGGTGGGCTGATCTCGCCACACACACACAAAAAATAAATATTTAAAAAAAAGTTTTAAAAAACAAAACAAAACGAAACCTAACATCCTATTACCATCCCACCAGGGGTTAGACTCCCACATATGACTTTGGGAGGGCGTGGTATTCCACCCAGAGCAGGATGTTTCCAGTTTTCACTATGAATTGCAAACAGTATAACTATAAGAACCCCTTTGTATGTGTTTTGATGTGTGTGACTAGGATTTCTTAGAGTACAAGATCATAAATTGTGATTTACTTCCTGGTGTAGTTTTAAAAAAAAAAAACAAAAAACTTTTAGCCAAATGTGGTGCCACATGCCTATAATCTCTAGAAGGCTGAAGCAAGAGGATTGTCTTGAATTTGAGGCCAACTTGAACTATATGGTGAGACCCTGTCACAAAAAGAACATTTTTTTATTATGAAATAATTCTGTTTATAGGAGAGTTGCAAAATTGGTACTGAGATTTCTATATACCCTTACTTTCCCTAATATATGTATATTTAAAACTAAATATAGGAACAGTATATTTAAAACTAAGAAACCAATGTTAGTACAATGCTATTAACCACAGATCGATC